AGACCACATGAAGAACTAAAAAAAATCAGATCTCCCAAATTTAAAGACCTACTTCAAAAATGGGCATCTGAGATGAATACACACTTCTCACATGAAGAAATACAAATAGCAAATAAATGTATGAAAAATGATCAACATCATTGGTCATTCACAAGATGCAAATTAGAACACTGAGATGCCATCTCATCCCAGAAAGAAAGGCTATCATCAAATAATCAAACAATAACAAATGCTGGAGGGGCTGTGGGGAAAAAGGGATCCTTTTCCACTGTTGGTGGAAATATAGGCTGGTGCAACCACTGTGGAAATCAGAGTGGACATTCCTCAAAAAACTGGGATTGAGACCTCCAATTCTGATTCTGGGTATCTTCCCAGAAGAATTATAAACACTATACCACAGTGATATATGTGCCCCAGTATTTATAGCAACATAATTTGCAATAGTTACATCTTGGAAAAAACCCAAATGCCCTACAACTGAGGAATGGATGTGGTATTTTTATACAACAGAGTACTACTTAGCCATATAAAGGATAAAGTGGAGACTTTTATAGCTTAATAGATGCAACTGAGACCACACTCATAAGTTAAATAAACCAGACACATATATTGTATAATCACATTGTTTCTCTGGTGTGGGAAGCTGAAAGTGTAAACAAGATCCAAAATGTAAAATAGATATTGTAAAATGGGAAGAAACTTCAAAAGGAAAGATAATATGGGATAGGGGGAATGGAGAAAAGAAGGAAGAGAAAAGTATGTATGTATGTATGTGTGTATATATATATATGCATGTATATATTAGTTAAGATATTCTACTAATTTTTATTATTTCATCACATAGAAAGGTTTGTGCTAGTATTGTTTAGACAATTAAATGTTGATATCTTGTACTCTGTGTAATTAATTTATTTGAAGATAGCAATATGCATATTTTAACCAGTGTCACCCTCCTATTATTGTATTAGTTTATATTTTTTTCCCTTTAAAAAAGAACGTTGGGGTTTATTGACATCCACCTTCTATTGGAATAAGAGTCAGTAGAACTGACTGTAAAACTGCAAAATAAAGAAAAAACAAATATGCATCGTTCTGTCTCCATGAATTTTCATGAAAATTTTGATCTGAATAGATTCAAAAGGAACATTCTGACTTGACCTATAAAAGATTATGGTGTAATTTGCTGGTGAGAATTCCCAAGTCATTTTTTTTTAACTTCTGTAAAACTGCCAGCATCCTGAAAAGCAACCATCATCCCCCAATCCATAAATACTGTCATGTGATTGCCATTTTAAGCCTGAGTCCCTTCCTCCACACGGAAATTAATTCCTCTTAATCTTGGAGGAAATGCTTCTAGAGGAGCCCATTAGAACTTTGTTTAAAACTCCAATATTACCTTTACCATTAGCAATACATAAGCATTTCACTGATTTTTACATGAGCAACCAAATACTGTGGAATATAACAATCAGAAACTATCCTGAAAATGAATGCTTACAAATGCCTACATTGTCTGATCACAAATAACCTAAAACTTTACAAATGAAATTATACAGCCCAATAGGCAATCGATAATCAGTATTATTTAATATCACAGTTACCAAATATGAGGAGTTCTAATAATATGTGTGCTAGAAATAATCAAAGAGAAGTGTGAGTGTGATTTATTCCTCCCAGTGACACCATTACCAAGAATTTTCAAGGCCACATGAGACATTCGGCATTTGATGGGTTAAAAAATGTTAAGGCAAAAATATTCTATACCATTTTATATCAGGGATTGAGTAATATAAAGACTAGAAAGACAATATCTGTAAAAGCAGTGAAAATGTTAAAATTACATACAATGCCTTCTGGAGTTAGATTCTGACCACCCACACAACAAGCAAAAACTGTAGTGTTAGAAACAGCATCCATAATTTAGAAAGAGATTGTCAATATTCAGAGCATAATATTATAACAACTAGAACTTGTGCAAAATATTCTCCTTCATTTCAGAGTTAAACTCTTCCTAACTAAATCCTGCCTGTTGACCTACTGCCTACTCACTTTAAACTGGAATGCTCTTTTTAAATTTTTGCTAATTATCTTCTTTATAATTCCAAGATTATATTATGTCCCTGAGCCCCTCCCTATGGCTACAAACTTAATGTTTTTTCTTGACTAAAATTCCTTGCTTGGCTCTCCAAAATTATTTCACTTCTAACAGAACAATATTACATTTACAGCTTATGGACATTTCTGATGCCATCCATCTCTCTTGTTTCCATATAACATAGAATTTAATCTATTCTCTAGTGTTTAGCCCTCTCAGGTTTCTGGAAACTAGATCCATCTTCCCACCCTCTCCTGTCACCCTCTGTGCTCAGGTATACCATGAGGAATAAGAAGATCCACACTCCTATCTCTGGTTTCTACCAGTATCAGCTAGGCAAAGCAATGGGCACTCTAAAGTGTACCGTCTAGAAATTCCAAATAATAGCTATATTTTGTACTAAATGTGTAACAAACTTTGCCCTAAAAACTTTATATTAATCTTCACTTTAAAAAGTGACCTACTTGACAGATATTATTATCATCTTATTTGTCCATTGAGAAAATAGAGACACAGCATGTTTAAGACCCTTGCTTTAGATCACATATATAAAAATTGATAGAACCTACACTTAAAACATCAGGGTCTCTTGTGTTAATTGGTTTCTTTAAAAAAAAAAAACATTGTAAAAGAGGTTACCTTGACATCAGAGAGACATCTGCCACCCCTTCTAGAATAATTTATCCCTTTGAAGTGCAAAGTCAACTCCTTAATTAAGAGAGGAAATTCAGATCACGGAAGGAGATTTTGTAGACTGTTTCTATTGCTTCCTCCCCAGATCAGTTATTGAAAGAAAAATAGAGATAGATTCCAGGAATTTTTACTCTGAAAAATACCTCCAAGTGGTGTTATATCCTTCTGTATGTAAGGTTACTATATTTGGAAGTTAGACAAAAATTGGATCATTAATTAGCAATATTTGAAACAGTCTTACCTACTACTGGTCACTGTGCATTTGAGGACTGTTATACTGAGTGGACAGAATAGGTTGTGAAAATTAATTTGCTCAAGCACCTTCAGTACAATAGGGAAAGACATATTGAAAAGGACCCTATGGTAAATGACCTTTTTCCTCTGACACAGCACCTTTCCGCCATCTGAACAACACCTACCTCCTTCTGGCCTATTTTCTTCTCTGAGATTTAGGTCACTTCCTCTCAAATTTATTTTTCATCAAATTCTAACTAGAACATACATTTCTTTCCTGAGAATAAAAAATTGCTTTTTATCTGAAAAATATCATCTGACCTAATTCCCCCTTAGTCTTGCAAGTCACACCTCTCTTCTATCTCACTGATAAAACTTGTGAGTCTGGATCCTACCCTTTTAAATGTGTTGTAATGTCCTTCTACTTCTAATATGAACCCTATTCAGGCCCCTGTCTCTCTTTAGAATAAAGGCAATAAATTTCTTACTTTCTCCTTGTCTCTGTTTTCCCCTTGATGAAACGTGTTGCCCTCCCTGCTAACTGATTAATTTCCTCAAATCTCTTCAGGGATGCTACTCAACTATCTGCTCAAAGGTTGACTGTGTTCTGTCTCCCACACCAAAAGGATCGGGTCTGAAGTGAGGTATTCAAATTACTGCCCACCACCTGCAAGGAAATCCCAAGCCAAGCAAACTTCTCAGCAGCATTTGTGAGGCATTCTCCACCTGTTTGGACAGTTAGTTCACTGCGCTCTGAAACAGGGTGCACATTCTTGCTTCCCAGCTTTCATTATTTTGTTGTCTCTTCTGAATGTCTTCATTCAGCACACTTGAGACTCATTCTTTAGCAACAAGATCAAATATCACCTAGACATGCAACCTTCTCTGATCCTCCCTTTAGAGTAAACTTTCCCTAAAGTAAAAGCCAACATCACTTTCCGTAACACATTTTCAGTAACAGTTGACATTCATTGGAAGACCACCATGATGAGGTGTTGTGTTATACTCCTTATATACTTGATTCTATTCAGTCATTAACAAAAATTATGATGCTACAGGCATCTTGCAGACGAGGACTTGAAAGTTAAAAAGGACTAAGCAAATTATTCAGGGTTGCAAAGCTGGTAAGCTGTAGACCTTGCATCCAATCTCCTCCCTAACCTCTGTGAGAGTTCACTATACTTTTACTTATCACTAGCAATGTGTGTGAACCATGTGTGAATCATTACAGGTGGAAAGCAGATAAGATAGAGTAAATAATTCTACAACAGATTGAAAAGAGAATACTTCACTTGAGGAGTGAGAAAGGCCCTTGACACTAGAGAGCACCAGCAATTATCAAAGACAATAAATACAAGTTCTTAAACAGAATCTGCTCAGCTTAGATAATAAATTAAAATGAAGAAGGTAAAAATAATAATGAATCAGAGTAGTACTCTACAAAATGAAGAGCACTCAGTGGGAGAGAAAGAGAATAACCCATTTCTCCATTTAGCAAGGCATTAAACTAATCCCTCAACTTGTCACACACTGAATTTCAGATCTTGGAAAAATATTATGGGTTAAATGTACTAATTATGTAATAATTTTAGAAGCCTCTCCTGTGTCTCTGAGAGAGATCCTTCCACTCCTACCTTGAAATTGGACACTTCAATATTCTCTAATTTTTTTCAGCTTGGTTAGAAAATTTGTAATGGTCTTAGTGTTGCATTAAGGAAACTTGGGGTGTCATCTGTGTATGAGGTCAAAAGTGAAAATTCTGATTTTGAGACCACTGTGATCACAGTAGGCAGATCAGGAAGACTGTCTCTGTATACCTAGCAGCTGGGAAGAAGGGCATGCAGAGGCAGAGTGGGCTCTTTCAGGGCCTGGCAGAAGGTACAACTTTGGCCTGAGGCCTGGGCTAACTGGCCCCTCAGATTTTGTTCCCAGTCTTTGATCAGCCTACACAGAGGCAAGTGTCCCTTTGGGCTGTCCTTCATCTCTTACCCAGTAAGCTCCCTTGGAAAGCATTTTTCATAGTTGTCTGCACAGCCCGATTTCTTAGACTATAAACGATGGGATTGAGGAGAGGGGTCACCACAGTATAGGTGACAGCAATAAGCTGATCCCGTTCAAGGGAGTAGCTGGCTTTGGGTCTCAGGTACATGAAAGAGGCACAGCCATAGTGAAAAATGACCACTGTGAAGTGTGAGGCACAGGTAGAAAAGGCCTTCTTCCGTCCATCAGCAGAGGGGATCCTCAGGATAGCTACCAAGATGCACATGTAGGAGATGGTGATGGAGATGAAAGAGACCAAGAGGACCACCAAGCTGAGGATGAGGATCCCCAGCTCACTCAGGGCTGTGTCCCCACAGGCGAGGCTCAGCACTGGAGGGGTGTCACAAAAAAAGTGCTGGATTTTATGGGAGCTGCAGAAGGAGAGGTGGAAAATGACCAGTGTCATTCCCAGGCCAAAGAGGTATCCACTCAGAAAGGAGGCAAAGACTAGCTGGGAACAGAAGGTGGAATTCATGCGGCTGGCATAGTGCAATGGAGCACAGATGGCCACATATCTGTCAAAGCCCATAACAGCCAGAAGAAAGCAGTTTGTACAGGCCCACGAGGCAGAGAAGAACATCTGGGCAGCACAGCCTGCGTAGGAGATAGTTTGGCTCCCCATAGCCAGGCCAAAGAGCATCCTAGGAACGATACCCAAAGTATAGCAGGTCTCAGAGAAGGATAGGAAGGACAGGAAAAGATACATGGGGGTGTGCAGGTGGCTATCCAGCCTGATGACTACAATAATGAAGATATTGCTGGTCAGCGTAATGACATACAGAGAGAGGAACAAGGCGAAAAGCAGAAGTTGTAGCTCCCCAAAGCTGGAGAAGCCCAGGAAGACAAAGCCCCTCCAGCACGTTACATTTTTCTGCACCATTCTGAGTGATATTGCTCACACGCTTGCTGATTCCTTCCACCATACCAGTAGATGTCTAGTTTCTGTTCTTTGCACCTGTTGTAAACAAAAGAGGAAGATCTTGACTATAGCCAAATTTCAGAAAGGTATTCGTTACATTAGGCAAAAAAAAATACATGGATCCACACACAACCTACCAGTACATACATGTGTGCAAAGATACACAATCATCACACATATTCACATGCCCACACCCACAATAAACACATATATGACTGGATGTATGCAGACACATAGAAAATATATACATTCAAGTTATGCATATTTCACACATTCAGAACTATGCATTGTATACTTACTATTCATGATCATATCCATAAATATAAAATGCATGTCTTTACATAACAAACACATAGGTATTTGGATAGTCTGCAGTCTAGAGGAACTATGTTCCACATATATGTTCATACTGACTATACATATACTGCCACATAAGAATATACATTAGCATACATGCATATTTTCTATTAGAATGTGCATTGGATGTAGACACAGATGTAGTTGATGGACATAATATTGCAGATCAGGCAACAAAGACCAAGAAAGTTAAAGTGACTTTCTCGAAGTCACACAGAAACATCACTGGAGAAAAAAATGTCAAGTTCTAATCTAACATTATTTTACCCTACAATGCTTTCTTTCTTTAGACACTGTAGGAAACTTATTCCTACAAATATATATTAAGAAACATCATGCTTGGCATTAACCACTTTCATCTCCCCAAGTCATTTTACCCTTTCCCAATTTTTTGCAGAGTGTAAAGTAGGTTCCTTTTACATGTGCAACCAGGCTGAGCACTGATGGAAGAACGGGGCTCCAGATGGGTCTTACATCAGGTATCCTTAGTCCAAAGATCAGCTATTACATTGTGCGGCACCCACCAAACATGGGCCATGAAGCAAAAACCAAACAGTGAGAGAAGTCAGGCAAGGGAAGATTCTCTCCTCATCCAAAGAGGCTCACAATGAGAGTAAATTCTGCCCTTTAGTAGCCATGTACTATTATCTTCCAGCAGGGAAAGACCTGAGGCCTATCTCAGAAACCCTTACTCTGAGTACAGTGGTCTCCAAATAACACCAAGAAATCTCTTTCAAAAAGCTCTAGCTCCAAGCAATGAATCATATCTGCTTCTATCCAAACAGTGTCTCTCTGAGGACTCCCCAGTCCCACCGGGTGCTATTTCAGGAGGCACATCTAATTACGCTTCTTGTCATTAGTTGGGAATACCCTTTGGGGGAAAGTACAACAGGGAATGTGACAAAGAATGACTATGATTCAAGCCATAATTTGTGTTTCTATTATGTACTGAATATATTGTTTTTACATGATAAATCTCTTAAAATTTACAAGCTAGCTAGCTAGATAATGTTAATATTTACATTTTACAGTGCTACAGTGTTGGTAGCAACACCATTCATCATAGCTACATCTAGGAAGCAGCCTATGTCTTCATCAACAGGCAAATGGTTAAGGAAAGTGTTGTATTTACCCATAATGTACTACTCTGCCATAAAAAAGGATAAATTTGAGTCATTTGTAAGAAAATGGTGCACAGTGTAAACATAATGTTAAGTGAAATAAATCTGACACACAAGCTTAAATACTGTATGTCTTCTTTCCCACGAGAAATCCAAAGTGTAAATAAAGGGCAAATTAAAAGATCAATGAAACAGGGAGATAGATACACTGCAAATGGAAAGAAGACCAAAAAATGGAGGGAAAAAGTAAGGAAAAAGAAGAGGGGGTCCTTAAAAATAATGAAGATGTGTTGTGTACATGTACCAAATATTCACAATGAACGTACATACTCATTATGTACCCCAAACATGTACTATTACATTAAAAATAAATAAAAAATAAGAGGAAGAATTTCTGTGTATGAATAATCTTTTTGCATTTAACCAATGCTCACCAAGTTACTAAATGCTGTTTCATTTTTCTCATTTCAGCACTGTCTCTTTAGTCTAAGTTTTACACCATGCATTTTAACATACACGCATAGAATAATTTGACTATAACATACTTGGTATACTTTGTACTTTTCTCTTACTATTGGTCTGTCAGATATGATGAGATAGCATCTTCATATTTTCCACCAAATTTGGACAGTTTTCAAGTACAGAGTCTACCAAAAATGTATACACAATCCAGGAAAAGAAAAAGCTTGTATAAATATTTAATGCTAAATTTATTGAGATTGTGAGATTAATATAATTCACCTTCAGCCCCTATAGTTGCAGGAGGTGCCTAAAGTGGTGGCGACCAGCTTCCAGACATTTGTTGTTAGAGTAGACTGCTGCTTGGGTAGCCTTTGTAATTGACATTGCTGCACACACATTTTCAGTTTCTTCCCTAAAGGCAGGCTACGTACTGGGTTTTCTGTGATATATGACATCCTTTAGGGTCTCCCATACAAGAGTACCCCCATCAGTTGAGAAAAAAAAAATTGTACTATTTTTCTTTCCTGAAATGTGTACACATTTTTTGGTGGGCTTTGTATTATTTCTTCAATTTTGTTTTCTTTTTCACTTCTTAGCTTTTAATGGCACCTGTGATAAATATCTTCACACTGTCTAAAAGCTCTAAAACAACTTGTCCACTTCATCTCTACTTCCATCTGTATTTTACAGATCAGATAATAACTTAAAATTCACTACTCCTTGTGTCATTTCCAACCTTTATTGAGACCATTTCCTGAATTTTTCAGTTCAGTTACTGTACTTTTGTACTTCAGGTTTCCAATTAGTTCCTTTCTTTTTGTTTGTTTCCCCTTCCCCCTCTCCTCTCCCTCCTCCTCCCCATTTGTCCCTTCTCTCCTTCTCCCTTTCCCTCTCCCTCTTCTTCTCCTTCTCCTTATTTTTATCTCTCCCACCACTTCACTGCATTCCCTGTGGTAAATCAGGGATTTGAACAGAGACAATACACAAATTTGGTATGGTAGTTCTTCCATACCTTTCATTTACAACATTTTCCTTTTAAACTTCCAAATTTGCTTCTGCTCTGAACTTGATTGTTGTCCACTGTAGACTGGGTGGTGTATGCTGGGGACTTCTAGACAAGAAATCTTCAGATTTGCAGTTCTCATTTGGTACGATGAAATAGTAATATTTTAAAATTAACTGCTTCTCAAGTTTTTAACTGCCTTTGAATGTTTTCCAATGACTTGAGTGTTTTTGTACATGTTTAGTAACTTTTTGTCTTTAGAAGGAAACACTACGTCTTTTCATATCATTTTAACCCCTTCTTTCATATTTTATGCTCAACAGGAAGAACACCCTATTTTGGGTTTTATATCTTACCCACTCAAGTCATGCTTAACTCAAGGATGTCATGTTGATGAGGCCAATCAGAGAGCATATCGGGTGTGCATATCTTTAGTTGGAATTAGTGGTAGATGGATGAATAAAGTCAGGCCAATAAACATCTCTTTTTGTGTTACATAACTAACGGTCAAAAAATAATAAACAACAAGAAAATATTACTACCTAAGAAAAATAAAACCTGTTAATATTTATTAAATTATTAAATGCACAGTTATAGTTTTTAATTCTTATATAATAAAGCAGAAAGTATTGAATAGGAGGCAGTGAGAAGTATCTTGCTCTCCCTCCTTTCTCCTGTCACTCTGGAGGGAACATGGCTTGGCCAACGGCTGTGGCGCCCTTCCCCTGTTCTTCCCTTTGGTCTCTTTCAGACCCACAGCCCAAGAATGGACTGGAGCAACTTGCCTAGGTGTCTTCCTGGGTTGCTGAGTGATCACTGTACCCTGGGACACTCCAACAGGAGGTAAAGGAGGTACAGCTCAACTGTCAGCTGAGATTTCCCCAGCACCCTTTCTGCTGCTCCAGAGCCTACAGCTGCCTCTTTTAAAAAGCTGTGAAGAAACCATCTTAATACAGCCAAGACCAGGAGGAGAGGAAATTGGGCCCATTATAACCCTCCCAAATTTCATTAAGCTGTGATCAACCCCATTGAAAAATCTAGCCCCATTGAAGAGTCCTTGATGTTAGCTGGCTAGTTATGCTGAAAGTGTGATAGCTATCAACCAAGGAACTCATGTATCCCCTACGTTTTTTTGAACAGTACCATGACAGCTACAATTATCTGGGACACCTGGTACCCCCTCCAAGAGATAGTGGGCTGGTTTAATTTTTTTTTATTTTTTGCACTTGAAATCAAACTCAGGGCCTTGTGCTTTCCAGGAGGACACTGTGCCAGTAAGCTATATGCCCTGCCAAGGTTTGAATTTGAACTGAGCAGTACAATTGAATTTGAACCAATCAGTAGGCTCTTATCAGAAGGTTTGAGTTTAGATCAGTTTGGACAAATCCACAGGCCCAAATGTGAACCAATCACAGGCCTGCCCCTGCTATTGGAGCAACATTTCCTTCACACTTCTCTGATTAGTACAGCAGGGTTCCTTTCCATGTAATGAAATCCCTGTGATGTAGCATAGACTTTGATCAAGTGAAGCCTTGCTCCAGTGGTTTTATAAATCTGCTTGGGATTTCTTTCATGGGTAATGTAGGCTTGGATGGTCTTATAAATCTACTGAAACCTCTGATCCTGAGTAGTGTGAACAGAGAAGTTACTTTAAAGGAAAAAACTATAAACTCCAGGGGCTGTTAGCCTGGAAAAGCTCTGGGGACCAGCAGGTGGACAAGATCAGCAATCGAATCAGACCCTCAAGCAGTGGCATCAGGCATTAAGCAGTCTTACCAGTGGCATCAGGAAAGCTAGTGGAGCTTCACTTTGCTAATTAATAGTTTCTAGCTGAATCAAGCAAAAGAACCCTCAACTGGCTGGTGACAAAACCATGATCTGTGTGTTAGGATGTAGGAGAAAAAGACAAAGTAACCCAAAAGAAGGAACAAGAAGGAAAATAATGAAGATAAGAATAGTAATAAAAAGTAGGAATAAAAGAGAATCAGCAATGCCAAAATCTAGATTTTTGATGTTCA